CATATAATTCTAATTATATTTTTGCTCAGTGCATGGCCCCGTGCAAAAATGTTCGCTTGATTTGCTGCACGATTGGCACAGCTGTTGCTGCTACCTCTACTGCTGCTGCAGTGGCAGTTATTGCTTTTGCATCTGCTGTTATTGTTGTTGTTGTTACTCCGGGCTTGATACCCTGCAGCTGTGTAGATGCGTCGCGCATGCCCAGTGAAGTGGAAAACGCAACAACGTCGACGACTACGTCGGCGACAAATGCCATGAACTTGCTGCAGGTTGCTGCAATTGTGACAGGTTGCCGCTGTCGTTGTAGCTGTTTGCTGCCTGGTTCGGCCTTCAACTTCGCTCAACTGAACTTAACCGAATGATGTATGATTGCCGTTTGCTGTTGTTTCTGCTGTTGTTGCTGCAACTGCTCATTAATCATTGTTTTCGTGGGCGGCTGGGCGAGCTCCCCCTTATCCCGCAGGCCTAATTGCGCATGCAGCTTCAATGGCAACCGTCCCGTTACGACGTTTCGCTCTCATTGCTGCCATATTACATTTATTATCCTGCTCGAATGGCCGAGCCATGGTTGTGTCCACCACGAAGCTGGACAAATTAACGCGTGGGTGGACGGTCCGGGCCCAATGGGTGGAGCATTGCGACAGGACGAGGGCGTGGCAGGGCGACTAAAGACGGCTCGAGCCATGCATCAATGTCCCCTGATGAAGAGGCGATAGCTGGGGAGAACACTAGTAAAAAAATCATGGAAATTTGATGAATATAAATAAATTAAACTGGTGCATGATAAATTAAATTTAAATATATTTTATAGACATTTTCCTAGAGATGATTTAAAATATGATATAAAGTATTTGAATTCTCCAAATTCTCAAGTAAAGTCTCAGTGTAAAACTTTGAAAGTTGGACATTTATTGCAAGAGCACAGTGTCCATATGGCAGCCACATGCGGACTCTGGCAGAGGTTCATATACCACTCTAATTTCTCAATTCTCGATTCTTCGCCAGTCCGTTTCTTTGCTTCTCCGCTTTGGACATTCTCCCTTCTCCGCCGTAATTTTCTCCTTTCGCCAATTCCCGTTGTTGTGTCGCGTGTCAGCATAAAAAGCCGGCAACAATGTTGAAAAAGTCAGTCAGGCAACGTCAATTTCCGTTTGTTGTCGTCATTAAAATGCAAGCCAAGCCATGCTCCGTTGCACTTTGCCACTACTTTTGATAATGATGACGGACTGGCAACTCCTGCTCCAGCTAAAACAACACAAAAAACATGCTTAAAACGAGTTGAAATTCTATTAATTAGTTTGCCATGCTGCCCATGTAAATGACACTTTTGTAGCACTTAAAGCAATTTGCTGTGAAATGCGTAAACAAACTGACAGCCGACTGACAGTTAGTGAAACGGAAGGTGATGGGGTTACACTTGAAATAAATATTATTATAATTTAAAATAAATATTGAAATTAATATAGGGAAAGGTATCTTTGAATTTGGGATTTTAATGAGCCAGCATGAAGATAAATTATTGGTATAAAAGTTTATAAAAATAATAAAAACAAGTCTAGATTTAAAAATTCCAAACATTTTATAAATTTCTTTCAAATTTTATGATTTCTTATGAGTTATTACTTGTCTATATAATTTTTCTCATTATAACAGTCTATACCTGAATTCGTACTTGGGAATTTTAAGAGCACTCGTCGTAACCAATTTGCCCCATTTGCTTTTTATATTTACTTTTTCCATTTATAAATATATTTAATCTTTTTATTTCAGTGTAGTTGACTTGCCGTCAAGTTAAAATGAGACATAAATAGTTTTGTTATGATGCCTAGAAAAAGTTGTCTTCGGTAATCGATGCCATTGACAACTCATTGAGTGCTGGGGCTGGGGAAACATACCCATTAACACGTGCCTCTGCCTAGGAGACCCCCCAAAGCTGTGAGAATGAAAAGGGGAAGCTCGTTTGCCGACAAGTGTAATGCGATAGGAATATTGTTTGCTTAAATGTTTTACCAAAATATTTTTTAGTTGAACACAAATTGCTGAGGAGGGGAACAAGAGTTTCCAAAGGAAGGCTGGCAGACAAACAAAACCAGAAGCAGTCGCCGCACTAAAATCGAGGCCGGAAATTGAAATACTGTCGGGAGTGTGCACGCGGGCATGCAACTATTTTTATGACGTTCACTGTCCGTGTCCCTTTCTTCACGCCCTGGCCATAACACATTGTCCGTTTTTCTTGTTGGCTGCCGGTTGTTGCTTTGCCCAAATGCAAAAGTTTTGACAACATTCGCCACTTTGTCATGCCATTTTAATTTTCAACAATTTCCCTTGCACTGCAAACAAAATTTGTGAAGATTTCTTTTAGAAAATTAGGAAAAATAATTGTTAAATAATGATTAGTAAAAATAAAGTTTTCACTTAAGGGGGTTTCCTGAATTAGGAGGCCAAAAAAATCGATTTTTTTTTTATTGCTTAAATCGATAGATAAACTATCTAAGAATATACCACAAAAATTTCAGAAGCCAATTCGAAGTATTTTCGAAGATATAGAGATGAAAGCAAAGGAGCGCCCAGCAGGTTTGCAGGCGCTTGGCGAACTTTGAAGCGCGTTTTCTCCACTTTTAATTTTTACGATTCTTTCGAATTGGCGGGAAAGATAACAAAAAAACTACTGGACCGATTGAAACGAATTAAGGCTTATTCTCTTTAGAATTAAATTCTCTTCTATTTGAACTAAAACGGTTGTTGAAAACAGCTTTTTTATATTTTTACAGCATGTTAAAGTCAAAATTTCATTTTTCGGGATAAAATATTGACTTTAACATGCTGTAAAAATATAAAAAGCGGTTTTCAACAACCGTTTTAGTTCAACTAGAAGAGAATTTAATTCTGAAGAGAATAAGCCTTTATTCGTTTCAATCGGTCCAGTAGTTTTTTTGTTATCTTTCCCGCCAATTCGAAAGAATCGTAAAAATTAAAGTGGAGAAAACGCGCTTCAAAGTTTGCCAAGCGCCTGCAAACCTTATCGGCGCTCCTTTGCTTTCATCTCTGTATCTTCGAAAATACTTCGAATTGGCTTCTGAAATTTTTGTGGTATGTTCTTAGATAGTTTATCTATCGATTTAAGCAATAAAAAAAAATCGATTTTTTTGACCTTGTAATTCAGGAAACCCCCTTAACAGATATATAAATATATAACAGAAAAGCAATGTATACTCTACTGTTAAAAGGAATGTACATGATGCTTTGCCTGCAATGTACAACAAAGCAGCAACCCCAGCTAAAAAGTTCCAGTAAGAAGTGACCAAGAGAGTTTTTTAGGCGATCTTTGCGAAGAAAAGAATGTCTTTACTTAACAGATATATGACAGAAAGCTATTTATTCTTTTTTGTTAAAAGAAATTTACATTATTTATATTTTCTTGTAGAAGCTTTGCCTGCAATGTACAACAAAGCGGCAGCTGATAATTTCCACTCAGAAGTGAACAAGTTTTTTAGGCAATCTTTGGGATATTTTAGTGTTTCTTTTTAGTTTATATGAAAATTTTTGTTTCTGTGTTTTCTTATATCTTAGTTTCACTCTCATTCCCTCTCTCCCTATTCTCCTTCTGTGATTTACTTTGTATTTGTTGTTGCTGCTCGCTTGCCACTATTTGGCGCTGCTCTTTATTCTCGCAGCTTTTTATTCTCCTTTTTGCTCGTATTATGACAAAGTCGAAAAGTTTTTATTGGTCGGGAAGAAAGGCGCAGCAATGGCAGCGAAAGGGGGCTGAACTGCTGGCGAGGAGGCTGGGTTATGATTTATTTGCCGCCCGAAACGAAACTGAAAATGAAAAAGGAAAAGCAAAGTGCAGTGTGCTACGAAATGAAGCCATCAAAAACGTTGACATCGTTACGCAAAAGCGGAAATGACAATGATGATGGGCGCCAAATGAAACGTTGGTCACGCCTCCCCTCCCCCCGGGTTTTCTTTAGCCCCTTGCCGCCCTTCGAATGAAATGAAATGCAATGCGGTCGTGATTCGTATGTATGCGTGTGTGTGTGTTCATCAAGGAGAAAGGATGTGAGAGGGAAACGATTCCTGTGTTGGCCGCCATTAAAACGCGCGAAATTGAAAAGGCGAAAAATTGCAATGCCAACGGTGAATTGAGAACTGCTGGGGCAATGGTAAAAAAAAAGGTAAAATAAAAGGGTTTATGTGTCAGAGGGGAAAAACGGCAGCAGCTGTGGCATTGATTTGGTAATCAGCAAGGCTCAATCTGCTTTTTTTTATTAAGAAAATCGTTTTATTTAACAAATAAAGATTTAAAGGACAACAAACAATTGAATAAATTGATTTCAGTAAGCTTTTTGATTTATAAATTGTCTTTGTTTGGTTTTTAAGCAAACTAAACGGCTTAATAAATCATTTATAATTGTATACATAGCCACTTAAATCACCTTAAAAGTTTGGTATTAAAAAACAAGGAAAACTAAAAAAGTTAAAACGAATTCTTGACTTTCAGTAAACATAAATGTTTTTATGGCAACTACTCAAAGTTGTTTATTAAAAGGGATTAAAGATGCTCTTGGGAATAAATTGTATGCACAGTTTTGATAAAGTTTCTCAATTTTATATCTTTTTTTTTTTTTTTGTGTTGGCCAGCAAATATTTTCAAGGCATTTTTTGTCTTAAGTAAATGGATTCGTTCTCAAGTTTTTGATTATCTGACATAAACTTTTTTAAAAGCCCTCTTAAAAAACAAAACAATATCTTCAATACAAAAGTAGGTTTTGTGATTTCAATTTTGATTTCTTATAAGAATTTAAGGTAAATAAAATAGTAATTTAAAGGATTAGCTTTCATCCTTGTTGGCTCTTAATAAACGTAGAAAGTGATTTATTAGATAATTGCATTTTTAGAGCTCATAAACTCACCCCATACACTCGCCTCCCTTTCATAATTTGCCAATCCTAATCCAAATCCAACTAACAAATCTCTATCTCTTCTGTTTGCATTCACAGGTAGCGACCATGATGTCCTGCCCCCTTCCCATGCAATTACCGATACCGATTCCTTCAATACACAAAACAGAATTTGCACCGGTTCACATTGGAGTAAAGGTAAGTTGATACTGAACGCTTATTACATTTAACCATTATCCATTATGCCTTGCCTGCTAAATGTACATATATCCTTTTTATAAACCCACCTACAGTCCTCCCCATTTAAACATTTGTTTGCTTCCTATTATTTAATAGTAAATTAAGCGCATAAATGCGAAAATCATGCAAATCGACGGGATGTGGAACCCGCTGGCAGAAAGTCAACAAGTGGGGCAAAATGCTAAATGTAAATGTTGCCAGTCAAAACTGGAGCACACGAGAGCACTGAGAAAAATGTTTCGAAGTTTTGAATCAATTATTTAGAGCTTTTTAGTTCATGTAAATTAGAAATTCTATTTCAAAATATTTGTTAATATTTTAACTCGGTAGAACATTTCTGGTAATTTTTAATTTATTTTTGAACGTTTCAAGTTTTTAAATTCTAAGTGAATTCCAAGTTAAGTTAAAAACATGAAACATTAAAATATAAAAAAAATAATATGAAGATAAAAAAAACTATTTAAAACCAATATTCCTGTCCAGGCTCGAAGGACCAAATTTTTGCACGAAACAGTCTTTAGACTAACCTTTTTTTTCTGACCTTTGTTTTATTTTCTCATTTATATCTCTAACAATACTTTCCAAATTTTCTCTCTCTGTACACACGCACACATGTCAAAGAGCTTCGGTCTATTGTTGACATTATTGCAAAACATATATATACATAATCGTACACCCATGAAGGCAGCCCTACAACAACGCAGATATTTACGTGAAATAATGTGTGGCACTAAATCAAATCGCTGTTGTTGCTGCCCCAAGATGGCGCCACGCCTCCTGCTCCGGCGGGCCTCCTTTCCCGCCCCTCATTTGACTACAGCTTTAATGCGAAGTGATCACATTTTAATGATACCAAAATGCAGTGCACATTGTTGAAGAATAATGATGTCAAGCAGTTCTTTGGTGAAGGAAAAGCAGGACGGTGGAGTTTTGAAACATTCCCACGAATTTGCGACGGCATCACGTTTGATAAATGCTGCAGCACATTTTTCTTGATTTTGTTTGTGTTGTGTGTCCCTTTTATTTTGTTGTTACTTTTTTTGTTTGTTGTCTCCTCGCTCACCCCCCATTTTAAATGCCATACATAAATCTATTTTTGAATGAAAGCCACTCGCAGGATGCGTGGCGTATGCGCAATATTTTTACCCCGCCGTCCAGCCAGAAAGGATATTTTCATGCGTTTCGTTCCGTTTGTTTGTGGGTTGGTTTGTTATCTGGAAAGGAAGCTTGTGCTTATTGTTTGCATAATGGACGCTCGTTAGCGGGGGTGAAGTCCTTCAAAAAGAAGTCCTGCAATCCGGGGGAGGAAAAAAGAAAGAAAAAAAAGACAAAAGTATAAATAAAACTCGCAACTCGGAGGCTTAACCAATATAAATGCGCTTTTAATTTGTTCCCCTTTTTCGGTTCTTTTACAGCTGTTGTATGTTTAATAAATGACACACAGTCGCCTGCAGTTTGGTCAGGATGATATTTTTTTTAAGGAAAAGCAAGCAAGGCAAGCTTTTTATAAGGGTTATTTATTGTAATTGATTCTTTAATTATACATTTAATTTAATACAAACATTTTAATACAATTTAAAGATATCAAATATGAAAATCTCAAGGCCTTAGCCCTTTACGAAATGCTCTTTTAATTTAGCACCCCTCGTTCCCTTTATTTTTCTTGACAGTTTTACAAATGACACGCCACACAGCCTGCAGTACATATTCTCAGGGCTTTTTGCAAAATTAAATGGTTTCTGCCCACAAACCCACAAAAAGATATAAACAAAAGTGTTTGTCACTTCAAAGGACAAATACAAATTTGCTTTATGCCCGGGATTTCCTTTGTGCGGTTTCTTGTGGAATGCATGGGGATATTGTCAAAACAATTTGTGCGACAAACAGAAATTCGAAAAATAATTGAGTGTCGAGTATGCAGAAAAGTATGTAACTGACACCCCGACTGCCCTCTTATTATTTTCCCACATTTTCCAATACCGAATCCTTTCTCTGCAACTGGCGATTAAAAAACAATCACAGAGTGTCGTGTCCCTTCATTTGCATTCTTTTATTATCCATCAGCTCAAAGGTTAATGAGTAGCCAATAAATTGTGATTTATTAACAAACAGAAAAGCTGAAAAAAAAAACGGAAAATGAGAGGGAAAAATGCCACTGCAGCTTAACCGCTGACAGGCTTTCACAATTATGAAAACCAACCCGGCTCAGTTCGGTTAATATCCCGACTAATTAAGGCAAATCGCAACACGCAAAGTAGTCCGCTGATAACCAGTTCATAAAAAAAAGTAACGGGAGGAAAAAGGAAGGTATATATTTAATAAAACGTTGGCGGAAGAAGAAAAGAATAAAAAAAATTGCCTGAAATTAAACGAGCTGCCAGGATCCCGCTGACTGCCGCCGCCGTTAAACCCAATTTCCTGCCCCGAGGTGCCAGCGGTGGAACTTACACTTGACCGCGCAGCATAAATCACGAGGGGATGGCCAATGGCCCCCAAAACAAGGGGGGAGAGGTCGCTTGGCCATCTTCGTAGGCCATAAAAAAGGCGTTTAAAAAAATATCGTGTAAAGGTGAGGCTGGCAAAAATAATATTTAATAACAAAAGAAATGCACAAGACAATGAAAAAAAAATCTGGATTTTATGGGGCAGAATAAGAGGGGTTGGGGCTGCATCTGGGTTTTTCCTTTTTTTTAAGAATTTAATTTAGTTTGTAATGCTTAAATTGTTGATAAATGTTTGTCAGACCAGTTAAATTTCTGGCAAAGAAATATAAATAAAAACTGAATGCAGCTGGCAGAAAAATCATTTATTTATATAAATAAAAACTAAATTTAATTATTTCTTTCTGCATTTGATTTTTGATATTGAGTATCTCTCAGATTCCTTAACTATTTTCTTCTTTGGATTTAGTTAGGGATTAGAACGCATAACTAAATCTTTTGGCTGACGTGACTTGGTTCAAAGGCCTTCAAGCTTAAGGACTTCCGCTATCCCTTCAGCAGCAGCAGCAGAAGCAGCTTGTCCAGCAGAGCCACTCAGGTGTGCTCAGCTATTCCCTTTGCCAGCTTGAAAGATGGTGATGATGAGAGCCCACCATTGCCACCCACTGTCACGCCTGATTCACCCACTGACCCCACTATACCGACCATTGCACCGCGAACTTAAAGGACAAGACAGAGGGCAGAAACCGGTGACCGAGCCAGGAAATGCTTCCGTTCCTGATTTTCTTCTTGTTGTAAAGGTTTTACACTGAAAAAAATCTCAAAATGAGTAGTTTATTTTAATAAAATAAAAAAGAGAAAGAGATAAATATGTTAAATACACAAAAAGAGTGGTACAAGTGAAACAAACTAGTTAAACCCCAATAAGTAGGCAATGCTTTTTACGAGTTAGTATTTCTATGGTCGTGATATTTATTTATTTCTTTGTAGTATTCTTATTGTTATTATAAAATATCCTTAATTTGTAGAACATTTATACAAAATGTATAAATATTTCCCTTTGTGCATTTCCAGTTTCTTCCTTTTTTGGAAGCGTCTTTATCTTGCTAGCTGCTGCCCGGCAGCATACACTCGCATTTATTTTTCTTATGCTTTCTTATTAATAATTTAAGCTGTGTTTTACTCCGCGACGAGGAGGACAACGCATTGTTTGCCGAGTAATGTTTGTCTGTCTGTCTGAGAATCCTGAGGATCCTGCTGCTGCTGTTGCTACAAAGGATTGCGTCCTCGCTTACAGTTTTTGGGGCGTGTTGTGTTAAGCGCCCTACTACCTCTCTCTGTCTTTCTTTCCTTAACCCATCAGCTCTCTGGCTCCAGGTTGTTTTATTTTTTATTTCCACTCAAATTGTTTTATTTGCAACACACACACACACATATACACCCAGGGAAGACCCCAGACGCTTGGCTTTATTACGGTGATTTTTCTTGAACGCATTTCGTGAGCTGCCACTGTCTGCTCTCCTCTACTCTTCTCTCCTCCCTTTTACCTTTTGTAATTTTTATGATTTTATTTGGCTGCCTTGGCCCCAAACTTTTGATATGCGTTTTCCCCTCGCATTTTCCTTTTTCTTTATTATTGTAATTCATATAAAGGAGCAAGCAGAAGCAAGCTAAAAGCAGCCAGTAGTTCGTTCTTCTGCTTTTCAACTCATTCCACTCAATATTTGCCTTTGTGCGATGCGTAATAAGCAAGAACAACAAAAGGGAAGAAAACCTTTTCAAGAAATTAAAAGGGAAACTCAGGTGAAGACCGAAATGGTGATGGAGGGGAAATCCCGAAGCCATGACCGAATATTCGTGGTACAATGCACATTAAACACGCGCAAAAAATGGGATATATGAAAAGGGTTTCAACTAGAAAATACCCTAGGAAAGGATTTTAATATTATAAATATTGAAATTAGGTCTTTAAATAAATTAAACATTTGTATGTTCTTAATTTTTAAATATAACAAAAGTTCCATTAATATTTTTACATTACTAGAATTTTCTTTATTATTTATAAATTAGCCTATAGAAATATATAGTTCCTGAATATCCTTTATGCTCCCTCAATCTGCCTTATAATCCACCAAGGAAATCGTCTTTTGTTGTCCTTTTTGGTGGAAGCTTTGATTCCTGGCTTTGTTGCTCGCTTACCAGTGTTTCTTTGGCTCCATAACAGGCGTTAAAAATTATAGTTATTTAGTGGGATTGCGAAGGCACGAATATGAAGTGGAATATGTGCCAAGTGTGAGGCAATTTGGCCACCGAAAGTCTCAAGGACCTTGGCACATTAGGCATGCACGCATGGCCATCTTTTAAAATCAAAATTCCGTTGGCCCATTAGGTTCGTTCCCTCTTCTCTTTTGACATAATAACAACAAAAGGCTAACAGCTAACGGCTAACGGCTAATTATTCCCCCGTTTACGGCCGACGGCAGCACAAAACAGCCGTTAAACGGAAAATATATATAA